AAGTCTGCTGCGAACTCACCCCCAGGCGATTCAGTCGTAGACAAAGGGAGGGAGCAGAGAGAGAGTGTGAGTGGGGGGGGGGGGGGGGGGCAGAGAGAGAGTGAGGGAGTCTGTCTGTCTGTCTGTCTCTCTCTCTCTCTCTCTCTCTCTCTCTCTCTCTCTCTCTCTCTCTCTCTCTCTCTCTCTCTCTCTCTCTCTCTCTCTCTCTCTCTCTCTCTCTCTCACTCTCTCTATCTATCTATCTCTCTTATTAGCCATCTTGTTCCTCTTCTAAAGTGGAAATAAAACTTTACTGGAAGAAGTGTATTTTCTTAGGGGCATGTAGTTTGTGGTGAAGACCCAAAAACTTATATCCACACAACATTAATAACGTACTAGAACAAAGGCAAAATGTACTCGAATAATCAATTTGCATTTGTGAACATTCTGAAACCAACATAAAAAAATTACGAATAGGATCAGTAAGTCAGGCAACAGCTGATTTCATGGAAGTAAAAATATGAAAGAAATATTGAAACTGATTTGTAGATATAGAAATTTTCCTTTCTATATCCAATTCATTAGATATTTTGGAAATCTGTTTTGTATGCCACATTTTGAGAAATATTGCTTTGCTTTCGAACATGTTAAATTAATAGATCAACACAATAATAAATGAAATTGATAGATATATAAATAATTGAATGAAGCAGTGGATAGGTAGGTAAGTAAGCAGAAATAGATTACTAAGTAAATAAATGGGTAGATTGATCTTTAAAATTACATGATTAAATTGATTGAATACATCCCATAAATGGAAATATACAGCCAGGTTTTGTTGGGTGATATCCCTTAATCTTTCAATATAGTCTCCTGTGCACCTTGCTTTCACACAGAGCTTAAACATCATTCTGTCAGGCCTTGTGTGTGTATAAAGCCTGCCCTCAAGTCCTTTTCCTCCTGTGAGCCTTGGGATGTTTTTTTTTTCTTCTTCATCTTTCATTCTTTTCTCTTTTTTCATGCCAACAGTGTAAGTTGAGAAAAATATAGTCGATTAGCAATTACGTGAAATCCGTACATTAATGGAACTGGCATCCGATTAATAATGTTCATTTCGACTGGTGTAGAATAAAGATATGAATGGGAATAAATATATCCACAGTACAAGATATGTATTTGACCGCTTTCGATTTATCCTCATCAGAAATATGTGGATTTCTGATGAAGATATAGTCGGAACCGGTCAAATACACTTCTTTAAAGCTATTCATTTACATTTATGCCTTTTTCTACATTTTCTGCACCAAAAAATCCTAGTCTGACTCGTAATCTTAAAGCACATCTCATAATTCAGCAATCAAGAAAAGTAATGAGTTGATTTCCGCTATATATGTGTGTGTGTGTGTGTGTGTATGTGTGTGTGTGTGTGTGTGTGTGTGTGTGTGTGTGTGTGTGTATGTGTGTGTGTGTGTGTGTGTGTGTACATATATATATATATATATATATATATATATATATATATATATATATATATATATATATATATATATATATATTTATTTATTTATATATATATATATATTTCTCTTTTTTTTCTTTCTTCAACAGTCAGATATAATGCATTACATTGCTTTTGCCACCTTGTACTGAATATAAGCTTATATACTCAAACAGATTATTGCTTTTTAAGGTAAAAAAACGCAACAAGTGAGCAGAGTGATGGCCATATTTGTCATGTTCTCGCTACAGCCGGGTACTTTGTCTTTGTGACCAGAATGTTGCACTGCGATTGCATTGTGGATTGTACCATCCTGTTCGGTTATTTCGTTTGTTGTTGAAAAGGGGTAGAAGCAGTCCCCTGAGTATTAATCCTTTATATTTATTCTCATGATGGAAATTGCCATAAATAGGTTGCTGTAAATAGGTTGCCTTCAGACTGCCAGGCTTCGGGAAGGTATGACTGTACCCTCCAGCCAAACTCCTCGTGTCTGAACCCTTGCTCTAGCTCTAGATTCTGTATCAAGGATGCAGTGTATGAAATCGTCTCTGAACAAGTTACATAAAAGTTTGAAGAATATGGGTATGAGAGGTATAGGCAGCTATTCCCTTATTAGGGTCAGGGATATGAGTAATAACATGTCCTAAACATCCTATTGGGATAGTGATGGTGAAGACGAAAGCTGCATAAGTGACCTCTATCGTGGTTTTAGTGAAGCTATTCATAGCGTATGTGCAACTGTGATGATAATGGTATATGTGTTAAGAGCCAGTACCGTAAAAAAGAGAAAAAGGGTTATTTCATACGCACGGAACAGATTTATAGTTTGCAGAACCTCCCTTGTTCTGTCAGCTCACCACCACTCTTCAGAATCGTGTAGTACAGTTCATGTTATTGTAGTTTTTTGGTAAACAGGATTTCCCTACTAAAGTCTTTCAGAATCAATAATGGCTAACGTGACTTCCAAAACCAACCTACGGAATCAGTTTTAAACACTTAGTAGTAAGTGGTCGTGGCAATTAATGTCTTTAATTACATGGTCTTTCATACAGTGAACCGGAAGAACTTAATTATTGTACTTTTACTGGAATACTGCCCTCTACAGTATCTTCTGGCGGACCAACCCATCAGCTACGGGTGTTTTGATCTTTGGAATTTCCAGTGATAAATACTGCAAGAGATATAATTATAATTTACGTAAATAATATGTTCTGCTGCAAGACCAATGAAAACGTCCCATAAATAAGAGAAAGGAAGTATTCGCAGGAATGATAATGGTAGTTTTTCACTTCCAGTAAAGATAGAAATGGTTTAGTTACTATAGATAACACATACCTTGCGAATTGATAAACCTAATCCACAATAGATTGGCTTTGGTGCATTTGATACTGCCCACATTTTCGTCAGTGGAGCAAAACAAGATTGGCATACGCATCTTGTTCTTGAGCAGGATTGGTTTCTACACTACCGGCTATTGATTTTAAAGGAGCCTCACCCTCCCATATACAAAATATCCTTGCTTATGAGGTGTATATGTTATAGATAGGAAAATTTTCTTTCCGACTTATAAAATCAACTAGAAGGGGTCGCGCAGTTAACAATATATCGCACTTACAAGTTCTTACCAAAAGGGCTGTGATTATTGATTCCCAGAGAATATAATATTTCCAAATATTCCTCCGAAGAACAAACAGTTTTTTGTCCAAGAGGTGAAAGTCTTGCATCTAATATCCGGACTAAATGTTTGTCTCATATCAGTTAACTATCATTATCATTAATATTAGGTCACAGAACGCCAAATTAGACTGGATGTAATAAATATTCAAAGTCCGTAGAGCTAAGAATATCAAACCCTCTCCGCAATAACAAAAATCTTCACCGTCATTTATTTTTCTTTGATTGATTATGTCATTATTGTTCTTGTCTGTTCAGTCTCTCGATACGGAAGTTAGTTCTTGAATTCCAGCAAATGGACTTCTCCCGATCTTTATTTATTTGTACAGACAGATCTACAATTGATACTTCTGAAGGCTTTAGTGAACTTTAAACGTTTTTTATTATCTTTTTACAGTCAGAGTGACTTCAGATTTCTAATAGTACACTAAACTGATTGAGAATAAGTGTAAGTGGAACTAATAAATTAGAACGAGATATATTTTTTTAGGAAATTTCGCAATTTGCTTCCGAATTTGAATGTTTTTTTTTTGTTTTTTTTACTTTTTTATGTATTTATAATAATGGCGACAAGATTTTCAAGAGTACACTAAGCTGATTAAAAGTAAGTGTTAATTGGGCAGACAGTTTGGCATAATGAATTAGTTATCTTTTCGATAACTGTAATTAGCTTGTTATTAAATACCTGTACCTATACAAAAAAAAAGGATTAAACAGTATTAACTAAAAATGACACACTTCTTGTTTAATATTATAGTAGTCTAATCTGACTTGCCAGTGTTGACTAAGATAGATTATTGTCACCCATCGGGCTTTCCTTTTAGGAAAACCATATAAATCAAAATATGATGCACTGTTTTTATTCATTTATTTTGTTACAGTTAACTACTGCTTCTGGTTTATATATTCACACACATATATGAATATATATCACTTATAAGTCTTAATGTACTGTCTATCCTGCCGTCGGTAATTTTACACATTGTACATTATCCCTGAATTCGAATTTTATGTGACTAAGAAGCTGAAATTGATTTATTTTAACTTAATAAGGTGTGTTGCACCTGCAATCATATGCCATGTGACTGCGGAGTTGAAGTTGCATCATTTTGATGTAAACTGGGGCGTTAATTAACAACATGAATATAATCGAGGCTAGCACACTGAAATGAAATAGTTAGACCGTTCGTTTATACACATTTTTTATTTCCAAGAGGGAAGATAAAGAAAGAAGGTAGGGAAAAGGGAAAAGGAAGAGAAGAGAGGGGATATAAAGGAGCAAATGAGAGCGAGAGACAGGGAGGGAAAGGAGGCTTAGAGAGAAAAAAAGAGGAAAAAGTAGTGGGAGAGGGAGAGGGAACGGAAAAGGGAGAGGAGGCGAAAGGTAGAAAGGAGAGGAGAGTAAAAGAGGGAATATATATATGTATGTGTGTGTAGGTGGGAATGAGTAAATGTATATATATATGTGTGTATACACACGAGGTAGACCCACATATATGGCAGCTTATCATTGCATTGTCAAACTACTATGAGTACTTGGATGAAATATATACATTCGCTATAAGAATATTCCCATTAAATATACCAATCTTTTAGTGAAAAAAATATGAACTTTAATTCATCATCATGCTCATCACAATTACCATACATCTGACACAAAACATGTCTCATTTTTTGCGTTCACCCTACACCCCCTCCCTCCTCTCCCTCCCCCGCTGCCTTTTCCTCCCTCCCTCACCCTACCCTTCCCCTGCTACCCCTTCCACCCTCCCTCCACCCTACCCTTCCCTCCGCCCTCCCCCGATCCGATAAGCAAGCCTTGCAGGTTGAAGAGCTCCGAGGTGTTCATTCGTCGTGTGACTCCGACGAAGAAGGTGCGTCAGGGAGAGAGAGAGAGGTAAGGGGGAAACACTTCATCTTATTACGTGTATTAGGGAAGAGGATCGAATGGGTTTGTGACGTTGTGAATGAACGTTGTTTTGTGTGTGTTTTTGGGATTTATGTGAATGGGTATTTCGTGTCCGTGTTTGTTTGATATGCAGTGATAGATATTAACGAAAATATATGGTAGGGGCATATATTTGTACAGTATGCATTTGTCTATATTGAAAAAGTGTGAATATGCATATATGGCTAATAGAGATATGTTTGTGTAAGTATTCGTTTGAAATATAACAATAAATATATCTAAAGCAGCAGGTTAGATGTATATATTTGTATACTTAGAATCGACAGTAATCAACACTTTGCAATATGAATATGAGAATTCAGGAACACAGCTTTAGAAATAAGAAAATCTAAGAATACTTTGTAATGTTAATATGAGGATAATCTGCGTACAGTTTAGTTTCCCACGGTGAATATTTGACATATATGTGCATTAATAAATGTGATTAAAACTATTTGTTTCTATTGAAAAAATATTTATGGCTATTTATGAAGATTTTTTTTTTCCTTATCTTTCTATTCTTTATTTATTTTTCATTTATTTATCTATTCATTAATTTTGCTTACTTCCCGTTTTAATTTGAGTTCAAATTGTGCACGTGTCCGAAGGGGTTTAATTAGCTCAGATCATAAACATAATAAAACAACTATTAGATATCAAATATCTGAAAGAAAACATTTATCCTGCCTTATCTTCTAATCTTATCTGTATGGCACTTCTATATACATTTTTTTTACTCCCCATTGTTAAAAGTTTCAGAAATAATAGAGTAACCTGTGGATTTTTTCCCTTTTTTTCCTAAAATGACACTTCGTCGCTTCACTTTCTTTGATAACATTTTGTTTTCATTTACACTATGCTTGTGTGTAAGTATATTAACAAATTTCGATTATTTGTCTGTGCAATGGGGAACTCTTGACGAAACGTCAGGATTTGATCTCATTTCTTATTGTGGTTATTTTCCGTTTCACGCACACACACAATATGTCTGTGTGTGTGTGTGTGTGTGTGTGTGTGTGTGTGTGTGTGTGTGTGTGTGTGTGTGTGTGTGTGTGTGTGTGTGTGTGTGTGTGTGTGTGTGATTAGAGAGAGAGAAAGAAAGACAGAGACATAGACTGGCAGACAGACGGACAAGGATAAACAGAGAGAGATTAAGCGTGTTTTACAACACACCGATAGAGGTGAAAATCTCCAGTAAGCTGACAGTTTTGTCCTGTGTTACCAATTACAGGCTTCTTGTATATATATATATATATATATATATATATATATATATATATATATATATATATATATATATATATATATATATATATATATATATACATATATTAAATATATATATGTTTTTTTTTGTTTTGTTTTTTTCATACTGTACTAATTGTGATTTTCTCATTAAAAGTACTGCAATGTTTTATATCTTGCATAAAAAACTTCGTAATTACAGAATCATATTTCCAAAGAGCGACAACCTCATGACCAGCCTTTCTCCCTCCCCCTCCCACTCCCTCCCTTCCCTCCCTTGCGTAAACTTTAAAACCGGGCAATGCTCTGCGTATAAAACGTTAGCGTGGGTGTTAAAAAGGGCCATGTGTGAAGTGGGTCTTATAGTATGTGCGTGTTTGTGTGTGTGTGTGTGTGTGTGTGTGTGTGTGTGTGTGTGTGTGTGTGTGTGTGTGTGTGTGTGTGTCTTATAGTATGTGCGTGTTTGTGTGTATGTCTGTGTGTGTGTGTGTGTGTGTGTGTGTGTGTGTGTGTGTGTGTGTGTGTGTGTGTGTGTGTGTGTGTGTGTGTGTGTGTGTGTGTGTCTGTGTGTTTGTGTGTTTGGGGAACAAGTTCGACTTCTTGATTAAACAGTAACAAAACAAATGAAACAGTGATAAAGCTTTAGTTCTTGTCTTTTCTATCTCTTTTCCTCCCTTTGCTTCTTCTCCTTCATTCGTCTCCTCTTCTTATCTTCCTTCTTCTTCCTTCCTTCCATGTCGCTTTTTTCCTCTCTTCTCTCCCCTCTCCTTCCCTTTCCTTGTTTATTTACCCTTGTTCCTTCTCCCCCATTTCCCTTTCCCTTTCCTCTTTCTCATCGTTGTTGTTTTTTCTCTTCCTCTTCTTCTTGTATCCCTTCCACCGTTATCTATTTCTCTTCTCTTTCCTCCACCCCTCTCCTTTCTCCGCTTTGCATTGTCTCCTTTCCTCCATCCTTGTCTTTCTCTCTTTTTCCTTCATTTCTTCTCCCTGTCGCTTGTTCTTCCTCTCGCCTTACTTCACCGTTATTATATTTTCCTCTTCTTCCCTCTCCCCTGTCCTGCTATTGCCACCCCTCAGCCATTCCTCTTTTCCCCTCAAATCTTCCTGTTCCTACCCTTTCCTCTCCTTTTTCCTTCGTCCTTCCCTTTCCTCCTTT